TGAACAGCAGACCCCAATCTTATCTAAAGGAATATTGACAACCAATTGCTGCTAGATGAGGAACAGCTGACCTTCCTAAAACAAAGACCTCTAGGTAGGCTGACTAGATTCACCATATGGAAAAGTAGTGGGGAACAGCTGGGGGTGACGACATCACAGTGGACAGTAGCAGGGATATCAGAGTATAAGGGCTCTAGTGGGAAGAGGGAAGCTATGGGAGGGTGCCATCTGGGAAGTGGGTATACAGTTGAATAAGATGGTTTGGGATGTTCTGTGTGATACACACACAAATCAACAAATTAAAAAAATGAATTATATTTGAGGCGGAAGCATAAAAATTTACGTCATGTTAATTAGTAGAGGTGATAAACAATACCACTGAAATCTACCCAATGACTTTATAGACATACACAGGTGCCAAGGATACGAGTGCAACCAATTATGACTAGTAATAATCAGATACATAGAGATGAGAGATGCATGCACCAACATCTCAGTGTTATGAGCAAAAACAATGAGTGTTTCTGTAGAAAACAGTGTATTTTAGGGTGAAATGGAGATCTTTTTTAAAGGTTAAAAACTCATTCAATTTTGTGTCTTACAGGGTTTATACTGAGTTCAATATTATATAACTGTATTGATTCAACAGCGAACCTAAAAAATTTATAGCCACTTTTAAAAGAGATGTATCTTTGCTCTGGAAACTGCTAATAAGTATGTTAAAGCTGTAATGAAATGCGTCTTCTAAAAAAAAAAAAAAAAAAAAACAAAGCATGACCGTCAGGCATGATAGTACATGCCTCTAACCGTAGCACTCTGGAGGCAGAGGCAGCTGGATCCCTGTGAGTTTGAAGTAAGCCTGGTCTACAGAGAGTTCCAGGCCAGGAAGGGTTGCATAGTAAGACCCTGTCTCAAAAACAAAATAACAACAAAAACTCAAACAAATTAAAAAAAAAACAAAGCTTGATTATAATAATAATGTACCACATGGTTAAGCAATTCGTTCTAAAAGTAGTTTTAAAATATCCCAAGATGGCTCAGTGGTTAGAAGCACTGGCTGCCACTGCAGAGGACACAGGTTCAGGTCCTGGTACTCACATGGCAGCTAACAATCAAATGCCCTCTTCTCATCTCCAAGCACACTGCACACAAGTGCTAAGTTTATATTCATACAGGCAAAACACTCATACACAAAAAATAACAATACAAAAACCAAAAAATTTTAGTTTTAAGGCTTTGAAAAATTGCAATAAATGTGAGGTTTTCAAAAGCATTTACTTAGAAGCATGCTAGCACCAATTTCCTTAAAGTAATCACAATTTATAGCTACATTTTATAGGTGGCGTGTAGATGAATAAGGGTATGTCTTATAAACAACAGGCTTCTTCCCAGTACTGCATTAACAAAAGTGGGTGAGGGCTTTGGGCTGGGGAGGCACTCAGTGGGTAAATCACTTGCTGCACAATTGTTAGGACTTGAGTCTGGATTCCTAGAACTCATGTAAAGCTGGATGTGGTAGAGCATGTAATCCAACTTTCCTATGGCAAGATGGAGACAGAAACTGGAGAACTCTGGGAAGCTCATAGCCAGCTATCCTGTCTCAAACAAGGTGGACAGTGAGAACCACTTGAGTTGTTCTCTGATCCACAAGTGTGCTGTGGTAATGCACATCTGTACTCACACAAACACAATAAAAAAAAACAAAAAGAAGCTATCTGAATTTTGTTACCTTGTAACAAACAAAATTGATACTTTGTTCTTACTGTTCTCCATTTTTAGGACAGAAGACAATATAGAAAAATTAAATTGTGAAATAGTCATAGTGAAATATGAGCACAAGAAAAAACAAACTATTGGGCTGAGTATGTGAGTTTTAATTACTCAGTTTTGTACCATCAATGGTTTTACTTTTCTTTATTTCCAGTTACCTTTTTTCTTTGCAAATAAATTCACTTAGATGTTTAGCTTAATTTGAAATTTTGAACTTAACTAGATTTAAAAATTATAGCTATAGTTATATAACTGAAGTTTACCACATCATCAAAGCCTGCAAGATAGGCCCAATACCCAGGAAAAGGGTCATGATTAGCATGGGCACCCAGAATTGATGGAAGAGTAGGGATCATGACTGATTGTAAAGGAATGAGGATTTCACTAAATGTTGGGTCTTCAACCAGCCTTTTTAGCATTTTAAAATGGATGCTCATGCTTAATGTGGAATTACTTCCATCAACCTGAAAAAAAAACAAAAAGAAACAAATATATTTTAATATTTCTGCTGTTTACCATGAATTGTATAACTTCAACCACAATTAAACATTTCACATTCACACTATCTCAACTGCAAGGGTCCAGCAGTGTGTATGACCTAAATATTTTTCATCTCTTCATTTCAACCTCTTTACATCATCAATAACAGTACTTATAACCTAGGAATGTTTAATAACCAAAAGAGTATGATAATAGAGATCAATGTTTTATTTGCAAACATCAAAAAATTTATAAATCAAACCAGTTTTGGCTACCAAATATTATTTGGCAGCAAAAATGATACCTGAACTTCTTATGATAAAGATTAATGAATCCAGACATGGTGGCACATGCTTTTAATCCCAGCACTTGGGAGGCAGAGGCAGGCGGATCTCTGTGAGTTCAAGGTCAGCCCGGTCTACATAGTAAGTTCCAGGCCAGACGGGGTACAGGGAGACCCTGTCTCAAAAACAAATTAAAAAAAGATTAATAAAATGTTTTGATTATGGAATACTCTGACAGATTATCCTCAGTTATCATATCCAATATAGGGGCTGGAGAGATGGCTCGGTGGTTAAGAACATTGACTGTTCTTGCAGAGGAACTGGGTTCAAATCCCAGCACCTACATGGCAGCTAACAACAGTCCATAACAGTTCCAGAGGATCTGATGCCCTCTTCTCACCTCTTCGAGCATTATATGACACGGGTGTCCTTACAGACATGCAGGCAATACACACATACACATGAAATAAAAATAATAAAATATTTTAAGCAATATCCAATATATACAGTCTCTTTCTCTCTTTCTCTCTCTCTCTCTCTCTCTCTCTCTCTCTCTCTCTCTCTCTCACACACACACACACACACACACACACACATTAAATAATCAGGAAAAATTCTGAGTTCCTAAGTATAGGTTTCCATGAAGGTTTCAGATGAATTGAAAACTTGTACATGTAAAGCACTTACAACAGGCCAGGATTCAATAAATAAGTTTTTCATAACGTCAAGTGCTTCCAAAGTCAAATAGAGTTAATGAAAATAGGAAAGGTTACCCTTTGGGGACCAGTTTATTCATGAAGGAAAAGTGAAAAATAAGGCCGTCTGTACCTTTTTAAACCTAGAAATGTTTAATGAACTTCAAATATTTGTCAAGTGAAATCTAGCTTAAAAAAAAAAAATCTTCCCCTTTACTAACCACCCCTCTACCCACTTTTATCTTTCCTACATTCTTCAGGCTTTTTCTTTACTTCTTAGTTAGCATTCTGAGTCATTCCTACTTCAGTCACAAGTGTACCAAAAACATTACTTCCAGATGATAGCCATCTGCTTTGTTCCCAGTAAAACTATGAGCACTTCAAGACAGGAGAACATGCATTATTCATTCATACTTGTTTCCTCAGCACAGTGCCTGTGCAATGAAATACATACTGGAAAAAAAAGAAAAAGAGAAAAATCAAGGGTTTGGAAAATAACTCACTGGCAAAGTGCTTGTCTTGCATACATTAAGGCCTTGGGTTTGATGCCTAACACTACAAAAAAGCCACCAACTAGTCAACAAAAGAAAATTCCAGGATGACATGGTGGAGCACACCTTTAGTTTAAAACTACTGATAAACATGGAAAATCTAGTTTCAGAAAATTCAGAAACTTAAAGGCTATTTGGAAGAGGGACATATGTTATAAATTTTAAAAATGGCCAGGCATGGTGGTGCACGCCTTTAATCCCAGCACTCGGGAGGCAGAGGCAGGTGGATCTCTGTGAGTTCAACGCGCCTGGTCTA